CATAAAACATCATGCTGTGTTTTTTAATGGCATTGCACTAAATCTATAGATCAAGTTGGGAAGAACTGACATCCTGACAATGTTGAGCCTTCCTATCCATGAACACGTAACATCTCTTCATTCTTTAGTTCACTGGTATCTTTCAGTAGACTTTTGTAGTTTTCTTCATATAGATCATGTATCTATTTTGTTAGATTTATACAAAAGTATTTCATTACTTGGGGTACTAATGTAAATGGTAATGTGTTTTTAATTCAAATTACACTTGTTTATTGCTGGTATATAGGAAAGTGGTTGGCTTTCTTTATATTAAATTTGTATTCTGTAACCTTACAATAATCACTTACTAATTCCAGCTTTTTTTTTTTTTTCTAATCCTTCGGATGTTCTATATAAACAACTGACATCTGTGAACAAAGACAGTTTGATTTCTTCCTCCTGAATCTGTATGCTTTTCATTTTCTTTCCCTTGTCTTATTGCACTAGGTAGCACTTCCAGTAGGAAATAAAGTGGTAAGAGGAGACACCTTTATCTTGTTCTCGATCTCAGCAGGAAAGCTTTGAGTTTCTAAAAATTAAGTATGATGTAAGCTATAGGTTATTGTGTATTTTCTTTATGAAGATGGGAAATACTACCATATCCTTAATTTTATTTTCCTTACATGGATCTGAGTTTCTAGCCTATATCATTTTCTCTCTCTCTAAAGAACTTTAAACATTTTTTTCAAGGGTGTCCAAATTCAATTTGTTGAATTTCAACAAATTCCTGAAATTTTGTTTAAGACAGTCTTTATTTCTTAACTTCTGATGGATAATTTTGCAAGGTTCAGAATTGTAAACAGCTGGATTTTTCTTTCAACATCTTCAAAGTCTCACTCTACTCTCTTATTTGCATGGTTTATGAGGATATGTAAGATAAAATTCTTATTTTTGCTCCTCTATAGGTGTTTTTTCCTTCTGGATTCTTTCAATTTTTTTTTTAAATCTTTGATTTTCTAAAGTTTGAATATAATATGCCCATGTGCAGTTTTGGGGCATTTATCCTGCCTGGTGTTTTCTGAGCTTTCTGGAGAAGTAGTTTGGTGTCTGACATTAACTGGGGGAGATTTTCACACACTATTGCTTCAAATATTGCGTCTAATCCTTTCTTTTTCTAGTATGCCCATTACATGTACATTACACCTTTTGTAGTTCCCTTGCAATTCTTGAATATTCTGGGTTTTTTTTTTTCCCCAGTCTCTTTTCTCTTTGCATTTTAGTTTTGAAGTTCCTATTATTATATCTTTAACTTCAAAGATTTTTTCTTCGGCTATGTTCAATCTACTTATGAGCCTATCAAAGGCATTTTTAATCATTTCTGTACACTATGCTTGATACTTGGCATTTCTCTTTGGTTCTTTCCTAAAATTTCCATCTCCATATTTACATTATTCATCTGTTCTTGTATGTCATTTTTTTTTAAATCCCTCAGCATACTAACCATAGTTTTTAAAAAGTTTCTGGTCTGATAATTCCAATGTCACTGCCATATTTGATTCTGCTTCTGATGCTTATTCAGTGTCTTCGAACTGCATTTCCTGCCTCTTAGCATGCCTTATAATTTTTTGGTTGAATGACAGACATGATATACTCAGTAAAAGAAACTGCTGTAAATAGGCTTTTAGTAATATGATAGCAAAATGTGTGGGAAAGGGAAGCATTCTTTAGCCTTATGATTTGGTCTCACTCTGTGGTGAAACTACCCATGGACTATGAACTTCACCAGTGTTCTCAGTTCCCCTAGGCTCCCTAACATGGACAGGATGGTTTGAGTTGTCTACACTTACATATTTTCCTTCTCTATGTGGAAAGCTAAAAGGGGGCTGAACTTAGGTATTTCCCTTCCCTGTGGGAGGTTAGGCTCTTAAAAAATCCCAAAAGTTTAGGCTCTGATAAAATAGTTTCACCTGAGGGCAGGCTTGAGTCCAACAAAATGCTCTGACATATTTCAAGATGGTTCCTTTTCTTCTCCCCTTAGGGAATTTTCTCCAGTATTCACTGTGAACACTCCTAGAGGTTAAAATCACAAAAATACAGGTCCTTCCATAACTGAGTCCTCCTGGAGTTTTTAACCCTCCGACTTGCCCACACTGAACAACTGCCCACACTGAGCAATTTTTCAGTTACGGTTCAAGTTTTCCTACCTGGCACTCGTTCCCACAAAAATTTTCCTTGTAGGTTTTTGCCCCAGTAAGTTGTGATTCTTTATATCTACCTGTCTGCTTCTCTAATATCTGATGCAGTTGTTTGCCCTATAATCTCATTTTTCTGACAGATCTAAGAAGAGTCGTTAATTTTCCAATTTATTCAGCTTTTTACTTGTTGTTAGGATGGAGTGGTGGCTTCTAAGCTCCTTACATGCCAGGTTGAAACCCAAAGTCTCAGTATTTTTTTTTTAAGTTTTTTGTTTTGTTTTGTTTCGTTTTTTACTTTAACCATATGTCATCCCAGAAAAATATTGATCTCCTATTCCAAATACATTTTAGGAAATAATAGTGGCAAGAAAATCTGTAAGCATAGTCTAGTTCTCGAAAAGGGTTGTTTTGCAATGTACAAATACATTTCTTTAGAAGAACACAATGATAAAATATCTTTTAAGATCTATCAAATAAGGGGTAGGCTTATGAAATTCACACATGTATTTGCTCTTTTCTAACTCTCTCTGATACCCCTAAAATTTTATTTATATATGAACAGTATAGCTATAGAACAAATTGAGGCTTTGGGTAGAAATATAATTAGCATACTAAGTTCATGTTTATAATTGTTTTGTTAATATATATGTTGATAGGGACTGCTATGGTTCTTTGAAGTCATTGCTACCTACTCTTTTAAGAAATATATACAACATTTTTGCATGCATATATTTCCTCACATATATCTACCTAAGTCAATATTTTATTAAATTGAAGTCTTCAAGAAGTCTCAAGATTTTTCTCAACCAATATTAATCTCCATTAGATTATAATCTTGTTTATATGTCACTTTTTTAACAGGAATCCTAAGAATATGAGCCTAATTTTATAAATGTTGTAATTTACCATGTAATAAATATTTGAATAAATGAGTTCTTTGTCTGCATTTGCTAAGTAGTAGAGAAAACAAATCAGCAAATCCCTTTTCTCCTCATGTCATCACCTTTGCATTCTTGTAGCAAATTACGTCATTTTCAAAACTAGAATTTCTTTATTTCCTTTACTGACTAAAATGACTCATTCTTATTTGCAGATTTTTAGTAAGATTGAGTCTTTTTTGTTTGTTTGAGACAGAGTCTCCCTCTTTTGCCCAGGCTGGAGTGCAGTGGTGCAATCTCAGCTCACTGCAACCTCCGCCTCCTGGGTTCAAGCCATTTTCCTGCCTCAGCCTCCCAAGTAGCTGGGAATACAGGTGCGCACCACCATGCCCAGCTAATTTTTTTTTTTTTTGTATTTTCAGTAGAGACAGCGTTTCACCATACTGATTAGGCTGGTCTCAAACTCCTGAGCTCGTGATCTGCCCACCTCGGCCTCGCAAAGTGCTGCGATTACAGGCGTGAGCCACCACGCCTAACCAAGATTGAGTTTTTCTTAAAAGATTAGTCTACGAACTTATTTTGGTAACTGGCACACAGCGGATGGAAATTTTATGCACATTTTCCTCTTAGAAACTAAGGACAGGTAAATTTTTTATCCTTTGTGTTGGCATGCAGGAATAAATTTCCTCTTAAGAAGAAAATTTATATTGTTGAGAGGTCTGAGAAGCAGATACTTTTTCATATGTTCTATTCTCTAAAGGGATATTTAAAATTTGGTTTATAAAAATAAAACTAATTTGCTTTCTGCTCTGAAAAATAGTATCATTGTATAATAAGAGAGTAGCAGCACAGCCAACTTGGAAAATGCTGTTAACTGCCCATATCAATTTTATTACCAAAAGTATGTCATCTACTAGAATACTTATGATGAATACTCTTTCCTCGCTGAAATATTTTTTTTAAGTTGCGTAAAGAGTTTATCAGTTAATCAGTTTCAAGTCTTAAGACCATTAGTATTCTCATTATATGACAAAATTACATATACTTTCTGTATTACATTACATGTACATTACAATACTTTCTGTATTACAGAAAGTATACAAACAATCTGCAAGAGAAACCTTGAATTCAACTTTCATAGTTCTGAAATGTTTCTCATAAACATACAGGCATTTGAATGGAACACTATTCTTTTTCATTGAAAAAAAAAAAAAAAACAAGGTCACTTACAAAATGCAACGTTAACAAATACTGTTGACCTTAAACAATACAGGTTTGAACTGCATGGGCTGCTTATATGTGAATTTTCTTCCACTTCTGCCACCCCTGGAACAGCAAGACCAACCCATCCTTTTCCTCCTCTTCCTCAGCATACTCAAGATGAAAACAACAAAGGATGAAGACCTTTATGATTATCTACTTCCACTTAATAAATAGTAAATATATTTTCGTTACCTTATGATTTTCTTAATAATAGTTTCTTTTCTCTAGCTCAGTTTATTGTAAGAATATAGTACATAATACATATCATAGAAAATACATGTTAGTCAACTGTGTGTGTTATCAGCAGGGCTTCCAGTCAAGAGCAGGCTATTAGTAGTTAAGTTTATGGGTAGTCAAAAATTACATGTGGGTTTTTGACAGTGCAGGGGGTTGGTGCTCTTAACTTCCATGTTATTCAAGGGTCAACTGTATTTATTTAAGGTCCGTGATGCATTGCAAATAGACATACACGAACACACATGCACGTACACACACACACACACATCTACTTTGCTGAGCTCAAAGTTCAGTGAAATTTCACAAAATTTTATCTTGCCCAGGTCCTTCATTTTATAGATGAAGAAACAGTAAGCTTTCTGCCCAGTATCACACAAAACACCAAGTATATAATCTAAAGACAACCATGACTTTTTGCTATACCAAATATATACCAATTCTATCTTACCTGTCCGAGAAATGCATGCTATGGACATATGAAGGTGATGATAAGTCTCGGAAGATTAGGAAATAGGCTTCCAGAGCAGATAAAGGCAGGCGTATGAAAATGAATAATGCAATCTGGAAGAAAGAGAATAGTCTGTTTCTGTAGGTTTACCCACAGCTATTTTAAAGTTGTTGCTTCACCTTCTTCACCATCCCAGGTACTGTATTGTTCATTTGACTGTAAATGGGCAATCATTACACAGGCAGCAGGGAACAGCATCCTTTATAAAGAGGCAGTTGTAGCTCAAGAGTTGCATCTTGGTAGCACCAATATAGAATTTAAGGATTACAGAAGTAAGTTACACTGCTGGTTCGAAGAAAACTGTTTTAACCTCTAATTTTTTGTCTTATTCTAATCTTCCTGTCATTTTTTAAAGAACAAAAGATGAATGAGGAACTACTGGCTTGTGTTATCTTATTTGGTTATATGATTACATATTATTTCGATCAATAACATATATTAAAACTCATTAATCAATGCTTCTCTAATTTCAGAAAGTTCCCTATACTTGGAAACAAAATAAAGAACTACTGTAACAATTTGCACTTCATTTTCTTAGCATGGAGTAGAGCATTAATCAATATCATTTTTTCATGCCACTAAATCTTTGGAATGAGAATTCTTTAATAGTACTGGTCTACATCCACTAAATAAACATTACAGGCTTATAATGTGCCACGCACTGTGCTAGACACTGGGGATAACACTTTGAATAAAACAGAAATGGAACTCCCATCATGGAGCTCAGAAATAACATTGAAATTCTCCTGGATTTTGAGCCAGCAATAACAGCAGGAAGAAAACTGAGCTCAAAACACTCTGAATTTATTTCCGCCATTTAAAAAAATGAATGAAGAAGGTATTTCAAACCCAGAAAAGATATTTTCTCATCATGATAGCAGATGTTAAAGATATCGGAAACAGTGCAATTTCTCCTAGTGCAGAAAGAGGAGGAAGTTAGTAGACACACAACTGAAATAAAGGAAGCAGAAGGAAGAACACAGGCAGTGCTCATCTTGCAGGAGGCTTGCACACCCTAAGTCTATTTATAAATCAGTTATTCAAAACTAACAAGTAGTGTAGCACATCATGTTTATATTTTGAAGTAGCCACAACAGGTTTGTAAACACACAATGTAATTGAAACACTAGCATCAAAAAAGAGTAGTTGCCAATATAAATGGTATTTTAGTGACCAGTGTTTCCTTGGCTCCAGAAGCTCCTGGAAGATTGTCTCAGCTATACCTCATGGATCCAAAAGCCTAATTTTACCTATAAATAATCAATGGATATTTTATCTATCTTCAATTTCCAATGAGGAGAAATCAGTAAAGACAAGACAACACTGGCAGCCTTAAAGAAAAAAGCAGTAAAAATAAGATTATTTCATTATCATTTTTTAAAAGAGATGGGTTCTCACTGTGTTGACCAGGCTAGAGTGCAGTAGCTATTCACAGGCACAATCATTGTGCACTACAGCCCCAAACTTTGAGGATCAGACAATCTTCCTGCCTCAGCCTTCCGAGTAGCTGGGACTACAGTCATTGCCATTTTAGAAAACATTTTCATTCACTCCAACTTTCCACAAATATTTATTGAGTGCCCACCATGTGCTAGCCACTGTTTGGTATGCTGACGCTACATGTCAGTGACCCAAACAATGTTCCTCATTTCATAGTACTCACATCTACTGGGGACAGCAGACAATAAAAATGTCTTAAGAAAAGCAGAAACATTTTGCCAAGGGTTGATAAACTATGCAATTCCCATCAAAATACCACCATCATTCTTCATAGAATTGGAAAAACAATTCTAAAATTCATATGAAAACAAAAAAGAACCCACATAGCCAAAGCGAAACTAAGCACAAAGAACAAATTGGGTGGAATCACCTTACCTGGCTTTATACTAGAAGGCCATAGTCACCAAAACAGCATGGTACTGGTATAAAAATAGGTACATAGACCAATGGAACAGGACAGAGAACCAAGAAAGAAACCCATAAAATTACAGCCAACTGATCTTTGACAAAGCAAACAAAAACATAAATTAATGGGGAAAGGACACCCTATTCAACAAATGGTGCTGGGATAGCTGGTAAGCCACATGTAGAAGAATGAAACTAGATCCTCATCTCTCACCTTATATAAAAATCAACTCAAGATGGATCAAAAACGTAAATCTATGACCTGAAACTATAAAAATTCTAGAAGATAACATCAGAAAAACCCTTCTAGACATTGGCTTAGGCAAAGACTTCATGACAAAGAACCCAAAAGCAAATGCAACAAAAACAAAGATAAATAGGTGAGCCTTAATTAAACAAAAGAGCCTCTGCACAGCAATAGGAACAGTCAGCAGAGTAAACAGACAACCCGCAGAGTGGGAGAAAATCTTCACCATCTACACATCTGGCAAAGGACTAATATCCAGAATCTACAAGGAACTCCAACAAATTAGCAAGAAAAAAACAAACAATCCTATCAAAAAGTGGGATAAGGACATGAATAGACAATTCTGAAAAGAAGACATACAAATGACCAACAAACATATTGAAAAAAAATGCTCAATATCACAAATGATCAGGGAAATACAAATCAAAACCACAATGCGATACTTTATTCCTGCAAGAATGGCCATAATTAAAAAATCAAAAAACAGTAGATGTTGGCATAGATTTGGTGAAGAGAGAACACTTCTACACTGCTGGTGGGAATGTAAACTAGTACAGCCACTATGGAAAACAGTGTGGAGATTCCTTAAAGAACTAAAAGTACAACTACCATTTGATCCAGCAATCCCACTACTGGGTATCTACCCAGAGGAAAAAAGTCATTATATGAAAAAGATACTTTCACACACATGGTTATAGCAGCACCATTCACAACTGCAAAAATATGGAACCAGCCCAGATGCTCGTCAATCTGTGAGTAGATGAAGAAACTGTGGTATATTTATATGATGGAATACTACTCAGCCATAAAAATGAATGAATTAATGGCATTTGCAATGACCTGGATAAGATTGGAGACTATTATTCTAAGTGAAGGAACTCAGGAATAGAAAATCAAACATCGTATGTTCTCACTCATAAGTGGGAGCTAAGCTATGAGGATGCAAAGGCATAAGAATGACACAATAGACTCTGGGGACTCAGGGGAAAAGGGTGGGAAGGGGGTGAGGAATAAAAGACTACAAGTAGGGTGAAGTGTATACTGCTCAGGTGATAGGTGCACCAAGATCTCACAAATCACCACTAAAGAACTTACCCATGTAACCAAACACCACCTATTCCCCAATAACCTATGGAAATAAAAAAATAAAATTAAAAAAAGAGAGAGAGAAAATATGGCAAGGTCAAGAGTGATAGTTCTGTTAGACAGAATGGTTAGGGAATTTATCTCTGAAAAAGTAACACTCAAGGAGATTTTAGAAGGAAAGATAGAAGCAATACCTGTGGCTCTCTGAAGGAAGGGTGCTCCAAGAGGAGGGAACAGCAAGTGTAAAGGCCTAGAGGAAAAAGGATGCTCTTCTTGTTGACAGGACAGCAAGAAAACCAAGGAAATTAGAATAGAATGAGGGACAGTAGTGGCAAGAAATGGAATCAGAAACACAAATAGCAGCCAAGGACTGGTGGGTCATGAAAAGGGCTTTGGCTTATATTCTGAGTGAAACAGAGACCCATTAATGGTTTTAAGCAGAGGAGAGGCATGACCTGACTTAATTTTTAAATGATCACTTGAATTTTTGTTTGGGTAAAAACCCACAGTGAGGTAAGAAGGGGGAGCAAAGCTAGAAACAGGGAAACCCACGACAGGGAAACTGCACTTTTCAAAGTAACACATGAAGGTGGTTTGAACAGAGATGGAAATTGGTGAAATGGTGTGAAGTAGTCAGATCCTGACTATACAGGTAGAGTCAACAGAACGTGTTGGAGGATTGGTTATTCCTTTTCTCTCTGTTGTTTCTAGTGTTTCCTTCATTCCTTAAAGCTAGGCAAGATTATGTCCTTTTGGGTTTCACATTTATTTTTAAAGATTGCTAAGCAGTGGAAAATGATGACATTTAAGTTTTATCTCTTTTCTATTACCTATTATTGAACAGCAAGATAGGTAACAGATATGAAGACTAGCAAAGTATCTTCAAGGGCCCAGAAATGAAAATAGTTACACCTTAGATCTGTACAGGATGAACCTCTACTGCTAGGACTATTAGCACAGTCGACTCTGCCTGGGCACTATAATACTAAAGCATTATATGGGAATATTGAGGGCTTAATAAACAACCACACACACCAAGTTCTGAAAATTAGTCAATCATGAACTCCAGCACTATTATTTTTAAAAGGGGAGCAAATAAAGTACAGTGAAACTATTATATACATATTTTGTATTTGTACATATACATGTATATAGATATACATGTGTATATACATATATACACATACTACATATATTACATGTACATATACTACATATACTACATGTATACGTAGCATATGTGTACACCTATATACACGTACGTATACGTGTACACATATATGCACTTTTCTTAATTTTAGTTGTATTGTTTTCAGATATAGTTAGGTAAAATTTAATTTTCTTTGTTTGCCTAATTTTCCCACAAAATTTAATACATTTTATAGGATTTCAGCCACAAAATAGGCTACCATTAAAAAGAAACAATCAGAGAATAGAAAATTGACTTTTTGGGAATTAAATTTCAACTAACAAAAATATCAAAAGTTGAGAAAATAAAATATTCAGAGATAAACAGATTAAAAATATGTGAGGGAACTTAATAAATAAGAAAAATCAGTTCACAAGTTCCAATGCACCATTAACATGAGTTTCATAAAGATAGGGAGAAAAAAAGAAGAAATGATCAAAGGTACAATGGAAGAAAAGTACCTAAAGCTAAATAAAGACAGTTGTTTCCAGATTGTACAGAATCATGAAGTCCTGAGAAGAATACATTTTAACAGAGCCATATCTGGAGAAATTTCAGAAGTGAAAAGATAAAGATCCTAATAAACGTGTGAATAGGGAAAAAAGTTATCTAAGAAAGACAGAATC